ATTGAAAGTTGGTGTGTCTTATCATATTATTTTAATGTATTAACTGAAATTATGAGCACACTGGTTTGTAGTGCAAACAGTTTTACCATTTACTGCACGTTGTTATTCTCCTCGTTATTTACCTATAGCGGCTAATGAACCGGAAGTCTCACCCATAGGCTTACTTCCGCGTTGAAGAAAAAGGTGAAAATGCCAAATAAATTAAAAAAAAGTATTACCTGAAAATGCAGAACTAAACAGTAAAATAAAATGCCGGCTAAATTTGACAGTTTAGTCATTAGAAACCACAGACCAGTTTCAAGTTCAATGAAAACATACATTTCACGCAAACTATCGGGTATTTTCACTGCTTGCAAACAGGCTGCTCCCTCTCCTAAGGGGACATGGTAAAGGGTTGTTTAAGGTAAAACGGAGACAAAATGTCAAACGCATGCCATGAGGCAAATTGCCGAGAGGATTTTAGGTCATAGTACCTTACAGAGGTATTCAAAACCCAATAGTAAAATTTTGTTCAACAAATGCCTAAATAAGGAAAAAGGAGCAACAGTAGACTATCAAGTAGGGCTGAACGATTAATCGCGTTTTAGATAATATCGCGATATGACCAAACGCGATTTTTTTTTTTTACCGCAAAAGCTGCGATTACTTTCTCTTCACGTGACACGCGAGAGTAAAGCAGTCTGCAGAGGAAGCATCAACTTGGCACACTATGCATATGCCTGGCCTACAGAAAAGCACACTTTATGTTTAATCTATCTAATATTGTGTTGGTCATACTATACAATAGAGATGGGAGAAAAGATTCTCAAACGATTCTGAGCTTAGTTTTTAACCACAGATGCGCGATGGCACTGCATGTGCTTTAGAAACTCATCCTGCTTGCTTCCAATTGCTCTCTCTCTCTCTCTCACACACACACACACACCACTCGAACCATCCACACAATAATCTTTAATACATTTCTGAGGTAAGGTTGAAGCGAATTACAAGGACATTCGCGCGCTTCACTGAACAGGATGCGCTGTGAGAAACGCGTGCGTTGCTGATGCTTGCAGTGTGTCGTCTCGCCCGTCGGTATTTTCCTTACAAATGCGCTACGAACACCTCCTCAGTTATGTCGTTATGTCAATTTCAAATGCTGACGCGTGCTTTGTGAAGAGTGCTCTGTCATGCGGCTGTGCGCGACTCCTTTTAAGTGGTTAAATATACTTGCATCTCAAAATGCTTTTATGACGCTAAATTCAGGGGCGTAGCCATCATTTCAAAAGTGGGGGGGACGGAATGTCTAGTGTTATACCTGTTTTTTCCCTTGTCTAATTGACAGGTTTTATTTTTAATCGTACCTTTTTTGCTTTATATGCTTTATGCTTATATTATTATATATGATTATAAAACAGAAGAAAGAGAGAAAGAAACAAAGAGAAAGAAAAAGAGAAAGAGAGAAATACAACAGCATGTCACTGGGACAGCACCCTTAAAAGGACATCTTTGTACATTATTTACCCCAAAAAGTTTCATAGTTGTACATTAAGGTACATATTGATACTCTAAGGTACTAATGTGCACCTTTTCGAGTATAAAGTACAAAGATGTCCTTATAAGGGTACTGAGAGTATATTGTTTACATATTTCAAATTGTATTTTGTGTAT